ATGGGGGTCAGTGGGGGGTCAACACATGGGGGTCAACACATGGGGGTCAACACATGGGGGTCAGTGGGGGGTCAACATGGGGGGGTCAGTGGGGGTCTCTCTCTCTCTCTCTCTCTGTCTCTCTCTCTCTCTCTCTCTCTCCCTTACTTCGTCACTCCTCTCCTGGACACTGGCCCTCTCACACACAAACAAACAAATACACAAAGACAAACACACACACAGACACACACACAAACAGACACACAAACAGACACACATACACACACACACAGACACACACACAAACAGACACACACACAAACAGACACACATACACACACACAAAGACACACAAACACAGACACACACACAAAGAAAGACGCACACACACACACAAACACACACACACACACACACAAACAAACACAAAGACACACACACAAACAAACACACACTCACAAACAAACAAAGACGCACATACACACACAAACACACACACACACACAAACAAAGACGCACACACACAAACAAACAAACACACACCAGAATGTCCATCTTGTTGGAGTCGGCCAGGTCCTCTATCCGGGGATCTCCCTCACACTTCCGGTCAGCTGACACTCCTCCGTCCTTGACATAGCCCGGCTCTGCAACCAACAACAATACTGATAGCAACAATAATAACAATAATAATAATAATAACAATAATACTACTACTACTACTACTGATACCAACATTGACATTACTCTATAGCACACATCCACAGTGTACAGCAAGCTCTATGAGCTCAACAACTGGCATACCCCCCCCCCATCAGACTCTATGAGCTCAACAACTAGCACCCCCCACCCCTCCCCCCATCAGACACTAGAACACTCCCAAACATTCTCGGCTTCCCGGGAAGCATACAGTGCAAGCTGCAGATTACAAGCGCTCAAACACTGACACACACACAAGATGATGTACCGAGCAGAAATAGACAATAGACTGAGCAGAAATAGGCCACAGACAGAGCAGAAATAGACAATAGACCGAGCAGAAATAGACAATAGACCGAGCAGAAATAGACAATGTACTGAGCAGAAATTGTCCACAGACAATGAAGGACTAGATCGTGCAGAAATAGACAATAGACATGGCTGATATAGAAAACAGACAAGATAAAAATAGACTAGCCTGGCAGTAAGCAACGGTGTCATTAATCCAGGAGAAATAGACTTACAGAAAAGGTAGACATGGAGAATAGATTCCAGGAGAAATATGCAATGACTAGGTAGCTAGAGACAATAGACTAGTTAGCTAGAGACGATAGACTAGGTAGCTATAGACGATAGACTGGTAGAAATAGACAATAGACTAGGCAGCTATAGACGATAGACAATAGACAACAGCCTGGGTGGGAATAGACAATAGACAATAGCCCGGGTGGGAATAGACAATAGACAATGGACAATAGACAACAGCCCGGGTAGAAATAGACAATAGACAATAGACAACAGCCCGGGTAGGAATAGACAATAGACAATAGACAACAGCTAGGGTAGGAATAGACAATAGACAATAGCCCGGGTAGGAATAGACAATAGACAATAGACAGCAGCCCGGGTAGGAATAGACAATAGACAATAGCCCGGGTAGGAATAGACAATAGACAATAGACAGCAGCCCGGGTAGGAATAGACAATAGACAATAGCCCGGGTAGGAATAGACAATA